GGACGGGGTGCCGTGGCGCAGAAAAACAGATCGTCGTTCCAGCCAGATGGCGCGCCACGCAGGGTCCACGCAGCCAGGCCACCGGATCCCGAACAGCACACAAAAACCACGCGTGGCGGGGTCCCGGCTGGCGACCCCCCCCCCCTCCACCACCCCTAGCTTCCTCGGTCCCTCCCCTCCCTCCGTGGCCTCATTTCACAGAGCCCGTCATTGCTATGCACGATCGCATTTCCGAGAGGGGCGTCGCTGCTTCATTGCCAGAGAGCGGCCCACGTCCCACCCAATGACCGGCGCCGTGGCCAGACGGGCGGCGGATCCCCAATCTATGGCGCTGGGGGACCATTGCGGCGAAATTGGCGCAATGCCGCCGCGGGGCCGGGGAGGTGTCACTGCCGTCAGCCGCTCCGCCCCCGCGGGTAGCTCTGTCGTCTCACGGCAGTCCGGGAGGTGATAGTTAGGTCTGTCCGTCGGAACTCGGGGGCGAGGAAACGTGCCGCCCTCCGTGATAAGACGACAGCCGGCCGAGACGAATGAGGCGCGAGATAAGATCCAACATGAAAAAAAAAAACAGGAGCCTGGCTTTACATCCTTATAGAGCGAGAATAGCTTCACAAATGGAAACACATCTGTGAAAGGCGTCGTCATGTAAGGCCCATCTAACAGGCATCCAGCAACAGAGGCTAAAGCTGTCTGAAAAAGCCACCCCATCTGCTGTAACATCTTCAAATAGGCCTGCAACAACTGTCAAATGAAGGAGATTGCCTCTTTCCAACATCGTCAAAACGTCAAGACCGAATGGCTGAACAGCAGCGGAAGGGGAAAAAGTTTGATGAGCTTCTGATTGAAATTGATCAGACTTCGACGAATATCATGCCCGGCTTTGTCATTGCCACCAAGTCCAAAATGCACTGCAATAAAAAAGTCCTTTTATCTTGGGGTCAAACCATCACTTTAGTTTATCCATTGTCCACTGTTTGTAACGAAATTCCACAAACATTACCATCCACCTTATAACATCACATTTTCTAGCAGATTTTTTGCCTGACATTACAAACTTTTAGAATGGTGAAAGTGGCCAACGTCAGCAGTTAGCAAAGTTTACCACCTACACCACTTTTTCGGCCACGGATGACGTATGGGAGATGAGCGTTGCTTACGAATGGATCCAATACTCTGATGGCTTTGGCCTGCTCAGAGGATCTTCCCTCAACTTTTCCCTTCGCCTTAGTCTGCGAGGAGCTGAGCCAGCCTGCAGTCTCTCCAAGACGCATTCCTGGTGTATCCTAAGCGCATTATCAGGCCTCTAATGCCAATTAAACGCAGAATGCACGCATCAATGCACCTTCTGAGAATGTCACTCAGCCTTGCTGCTAACATACGAATAATCAACAGGTCAGCGAAAATAACATTTGACCAATTGTCCAAGTGGCAGATTACGGGATTACGTTTATCAACAACCGGTTTAAGAGCAGACGTGAGGCGCCCAACACTGCAGGATGTGAACTAAGATAATACTCCAATCATTTCAGTATTTGGAATTTTAGGTGTTGGGGATCACTGTTTCAGCATCATCCGCAGACCGCAAAAGTAAACACAGGTAAATAAAGCTCGACCTAGGGATGCTCATCAATCTGTCTTCCTCCAGGTACGTTGCAGCCGTTATAGTCTAACAAAAGTCAAGGACTTTAAGCCTTTCACCTGGAAGACGTTGCTTTCTGTTTCCAGCACTACTGTTGTCTCAAAACACTGACACAGCAACTGTCAAAATAACAGCACCAGATGTCCGTAAAACTGTATCAACATCAATAAAAATACAGCAGTGTTTCAAAAGTAGGGAGCCTACGAGCCCACACACTTCGAGAACAATTTTTCTTACCTCCTCAAAATACTTCTCAAGGACGCCAGCTTTACAACAGATACTTGAGGTAATACACGTCCTATACTAATTCCAAAGGAAGCGGAAAAGCGCCTTAGCAGTCACAAATCATAATAAATTGCAGCCATCCATTATGTGTCAGTCGGAGTGTAAATAAGTGAAGTTTTCCGTAAAAACATTGCTTTTTAGGCGTGCGCGAGAGAGAGAGAGAGAGAGAGAGAGAGAGAGAGAGAGAGAGAGAGAGAGAGAGAGAGAGAGAGAGAGAGAGAGAGAGAGAGAGAGACCACTAGACTCTCATCTCGACCTCATCCCAAATGCGCGCGAGCTCCTATCGACCCTGCCGCCGATCGCAAACATTTCAACAGCCGTCCGCTCGCTGGCAGCAGTCCACCACCACTGACCACCCCAAACCCTCAGAGACCTCCGTCACTCGCTGACATCGACAGGCGCGCAGATAGCGTTCAGCAATGCCGCTGCCGTGCCGAGCACGCCCGTCGGTCCGCGCGCGTCTGCCCCACCCGGTGCGGTCCAGCGCGGCGCGACTAGCGTGGCTCGAGGTCCCCGTCGAACGCCTCGGGTGATAGACTCGCACCCCGAGAGGCGGTCCGAGGCGCTGTCGCTGGGCACGAATCGACGCACGGATGCATAAATAAACTGACCGTCCGCGGGGCGGCGGGGTCGCGCCGGCGGCGACGGCCACGCCCCGTGTGTTGTTTTGTATGCAGGTCGACGCGACTGCGCGGTGACAGAGACGTTGACAGACGGCCAGCGCTGATTGTGATGAACTGTCCCGACTGGTGGGTGGGCCGAAATGACAGCGCAGAGACTGTCCATTTTACCAGCGCCGTGCGGGAGACGCACCGAACCCGGCAAAACATCCAGCGGAGTGCCGACGATACGCTAGCGCTACGGCCGCCCGCTCACCAGAGACGAGCAGTGGCGCCGACAAGACGTAACAGCCGAGAAAATTGCACACAGAGAGACCGGCCGACGGGAAATAAATGAATCACGCGGCTGAAGGTGCCCGATGAAAAGTGTGAAATAGTTAGGTTTTGATGCGCAGTTGGCCGTTGAAATACCCTCAGACCATTTGGTTGTTTAGTAGTCTTTTGAAAATAGCATTTCCTCTGTATCATCAAAGAATACTTCATGGAAGAATTCATTAACAACCGTTTCCGCAGTATTGAGCGACAACGTTGAGCCTCCATTTGAGCCGTGCCGGGCGCAAGTTCATGCAGAATGAAGCCCAGAAGTGAGGCTTGCAACTTTTATCAGCGCTGCAAATTAACTTTGAAGAACAATCAACCACCATGCGAGTGAGACCTCAACATCATTAACAAGCCGACATTCTTAATCAACGTCTAGCGGGTATATATAGCCCGGCAACCCGATAGACATTTCGACAAAGCAGAACATGAGCGATTGCTTAGACTGCATATCGCAATCAAGAACTGAGCAAAATCGATGTCAGCGTAAAGGCTGCTGCTGCTCGAAAACGACCCTGCAATCATCCCACACATATATCAAAGTCAGGTGAAGTATCTTACCGTAGGCCGATTTGCCAATTTTTTTTAGCACCTACTGTCCAAATCGTCCCAGATATCCATAAATTATTGGCTCATGCTACTTTGAGCACACCACAAAAAAAAAAGATTTTTACCATTTCACATACCTTATCCCGGCCCATGATAGCCCACGAGTCACATGGTGCAACGGTCATCCCCTTTGTGTCACCAAACGGACAATGTGTGGCTGCCTCTCGCGGTTGGTTGGCTCCAAACATCAGCTCAAACAAGTGACACCAAGCCCTCCCTTAGTGCCCGACCACTAGCCACTTTCACACTCCACCAGCCGCACCACGAACACCGCGAGTGTTTCCCTCCCAGTATACGGCTCAGCCTGGTCTTGCAGTTACAGTCGATTTCTGAAGCCGAGGTGGGCTAAACTCGCATCCAATGCACGCCAAAGCCTGTTTTACCGACACATAGCCCTGCTGGCTGGTGGCTCATGGAGGGAGGAAAGCACAGACTCACCGAGGTAAACCTTTCGGAGTGGCAAACTAAAAATAGACTTTCTGTAGTACCTGTCTGTTCAAATGCACAGCAATGTGGCTACCTGCGTCAGCTGAACGATTTTGACCTTGCCTTGACTGCCGTATCAACATTCATGACACAATCACCAGGGAAAGGTATTCCACTCAGACTTCATTCCTCCTGTGTCACGTCATGGGCAGACATAATGACGCAACTCGTGGGTATAGCCAATCAACTTAGTCACGTCAGCCGGGTGGAACAGTGGCACTAGCATTGTGGTTAGCAACGAACAAACTAACCCATAACTTCGCGCAGACAAGTACGAGCCGACATTTGGGCCCTTTAAACTCGAGACGGCAAATTATCGCTGCCGGAGTTGAAATATGAATACTTCGAGCGACTTGTAAGCTTTGAGTGTTGGAGTTTGGCTGCCGAGTGCCGCATCATTGAAATGGATAACCTTGAAAAAAGGTCATTAGAATTTGACTGAAAAAATCAATTTCAACGCAAAATTAACCGACCTACAAAGATATCCGTTAACGATTATAATATACCTACCATATTTGCTTGAAGGCGGTGCCATTTTGTTTGTCAAAGAAAAGCAGCAGTAGGTATCTAATCCTAATTATCAACGCTGCAAACCAAAGAAATGTACATTATCAACGATGCAAACCAAAGAAATGTACAAGTCTGAGCTCGAACTATACCTGCAATCGTAGAGAGCCACACCCCCTTGCGCCAGCCATCTCCGACTCAGTCCAAGACCCTACCCCAACAATCGACACAGTCTTTGACTCTTTTGCTCCACTCTGCAGGCTGCAGCTCCCATTCCCAATCCCCGTCCCATTTCAATCACATGCCCCACCAAGGCCCATTGCTCATCTCTGCCAGCTGAGCTGACACCATCACTTCATGCGGCACTCATTCGGCTTGGTGGGGCGGTACTCTCCGGCTGAGTATGGCGGCACTCACACAGCTGGGTACAGGACACTCACCCGGGTGGGTGAGACGGCACTCATCCGCCAGGGTAAAGCGACACTCAACCAGCTGGAGCAGGCGGCACTCATGCAGCTGGGTAGGGCGGCACTCACCCGACTAGGTATCCTCAGCAGTGAGCAGGGCGGCGTCTCCGGTGAGCTGGGTGACGACTCCACCGAGTACCGTTTGGCGATGGGGACGGAGCCGGGCGCGGCGCGACCCACCACTCGGCGCCGTACACCGACTCCCAGACCAACGCCCAGAGGTCGACCCTGCTCCCTGGCGCTAAACGTGACCGTGGGACGAGCCGTCACCCGCGCCGCCGCCGTCTGCCGGTCTGCGGGTCACAGAAAGGGTCAGGTCAGATCGGCCGGTCTGGGGGCCACAGGGCGGGGCAGGTCAGATCGATCGAACGTTAGCTCACCTAAGTAACGAGTATTGAATACGACATTTACACATCGAGCGCGTCCGAACGGCATACAAGTTACACAACTTTAGTCAAATTACACATCCAATGTGCCTTCAGCTCCCCCACGCTGATACAAGTTCACCAACCCATAGCTAATCAATGCCCAGCGGTCAGAACCTCCCAGTTCAATCGGCGCCCCCAGCGGCCGAACAATCGCCCGGATCCTCTCCCCGGCTCGGACACAGCCGCCGCCGCGGGTCCTCTGCGGCCTACAGATACGCCGACACAGACCGAGTCGGCTTCTCAGAGCTCCGCCGACATCGGCGCCCGCCGGCCAGCCGGCCAAATTGGTCGCCGCTCCGTGATACCAGAAATAATGGAAGTGATAACGGGCAAATGTCACGGCCGGACAGCTGAAGATCGAGTTTTTGGAAGTCGCCAACGACGGAATCGGTTATGCATTTAATGTTAAATGTTGGACGTTGTGCTATCCCGCCGGGGAGCAGCTGTCGGGACAACCCGTGCAGCCATGCCATGACATATTACCCAGAAATACATATCAGAGCAGCAACAGGGCTGTGGTTATATATCAGCCACAACAGCGATACCGTCCACACATTTCACCAATATCTGGTCTGCACAGCTGCCGAAGCCGCTGGTTTCGCTACCACGCCGCCGAGGCGTAATAATCGCTGTCTGTCGCCAAAAACAGTACAGCTTAGCTTGAAATTCCAGCCCACAGCATGGCCTCACTTGGCAGCACCATCCCGTACAGTAGGTCTATTAAAAAAGTCCCCGGCACCAGTGGGCGCTGCCTCCGCTGAGCCGAACCCCCGTATGCCTGTCCCGTATCGCGCCGGTATCAGGTCAGGTAGGGTCAGCGGGACCGCTCGGTCCGGCCCGCGGGCGGTGGACGGGCGGCCGGTAACGCTCTCCGCCAGCCAGCTGTAGAATTCAACAAACGGGACGGTCACCGCTCAGCGCACCGAAACCGGTGTTCAAGAATGGCAGTAGATGTTCATGGCCTGGCCACAATGATTATGAGATACTCATTGTTAGCCCGTGCCCCACAGGAATGCCTTAGACTCTCACGCCCTGTTGGAGGGGAAATGGGGATTGAGCATCATTCTTATACCTCATAGAGTTGCAAAGTTTCCCCCAAAGGCTGCTACCGGCACCGCCCCGCCCCACAATTTTTTTTGGGGATACCGGCATGCTACCACGCCCAAAGCAAAAACACCACCAAATTACCGGCATAGGGGAGAGTGGGGCAAAGCGGCCACCCTAACGCTTCTCACGATGCCAACGCCTGATTTTTAAACTTGGAAAGATTCTTTCTATACCAATGTGATCCCTAGTAAGTTGCCTTTTATTTCAACTGCGTTTTATTTCCAAAGGCGTTCACATATGAAAGATATTGACAAAACTTTAAACCTATGCATATTGGCCACTTTGCCCCATACCCTGGGGCAAAGCGGCCACCGGCGTCTTCTCAAGTCCCGATATGAGAAACAAATAGTTGCCTCGTGTACGACTAGGGTATTTGATGGTGACAAGTTTTAAGCGAGTATGGATGTTTACTTTATCATCTTCCACCTGTAGGTAAACAAAGAAAGGGTTTTCATGAAAATAAACATTTAATTGCATTATTTGGTAACTCATGCAACTGAAAAGTGGCCAAGATGAATGCATGACGACACATTTGAATATAAATAATGTTTTTTATCCAGATGGAAGCAACTTATGGCCAATTGGGGGGTGGCCACTTTGCCCCGGCCACTTTGCCCCGCGCATACCGTCTGAGACAAAAACATTTCAGCTTAGCTATTAGTGGGGTAAAAAACATTAAAATTGGTAGAATACATGTACGATAACCATGCAATGCATGGACAAGAACGCTTATAAAAATTCCAAACGGTTATGGAATAACATAACATTTAAAAATTGTAAACATAGTTGGTAACCTGGCAAGAAATGCTTTTCCGTATTTCACAGAACAATGGTGATGGGCCTGAAACCCCGGTCTGGCTCATTCGAACGACCGTGAAGAGAAGTATAATTGGAAACCATAAATTGGAACTGACGCCAGCTATAAAGGGCTAAAACGATGGGTGGCCGCTTTGCCCCGGGTGGCCGCTTTGCCCCACTCTCCCCTACTAAAAAACCTGCATTGTTGATTCCAGTTTACCCCTACAAGAGATGCCACATTTTCCTCTTAGTGTCCAAAGTTTGAATCATATGCTAATAATTTTTTTTTGTGCAAAACCAAAAATACCGGCATGCTACCGGCAAGACATGCCAGATACCACAAAAAACCTGCGGTAGTGAAAAATTACCGGCATGCCGGTAATGCGGTAGGGAAACTTTGCAACTCTAATACCTCAGCTTTGGACATTTAAGTGGCATTCGAAGGAGCGTCAAAAATAGCAAAAAGAAGAAGAAGAATACTTCTGCCAATTTTAGATCGGGTTAGAGCCAGAGGTCATGGCACCAGAGGTCGTCGGTGGTAAAATTTTGCTTGGACAGGGTGCGTTGCGCGCACCGGTGCATTGGGTTTCCAATTTCCATGGAAACATCAACAGACTCGGAAGCTCGCAACGCTAGCGTGGAGCCGAATTCATATCAACCGCCGCAACAATGCAGCAGCGCAGCGCAGCGTGCTGCAACGCGGGGCCGTGAAACACCGCCCAGGGCTATCCATGTGTCAGGGCAATCCAACCCACGTGATGGGCTCGGCCCCAGCGGAGCATGAAGTCCAGGACTCCCGCCCGGGCCCCCTGTCTCCCCCTAATTCCTGTCATCCTTCCCACTCTGAAATCGACCGAGCCTAACCTAACACAACAATCAGCTCGTTTACCGCTATGTCTGAATAATATTGTCAGATTTAATTAAGGTGAACGGCTTAGCACGTAAATAACAGCAACTGCCACCATCGGTATTATGAGAAAACCAATTGCTTTTCCACAAACACTTAAAAGTTATTAGCTTAAAACTTGCTTGAAATTAATTTTACCAGCCTCGTGTTCCTCTTATCAAATCGCTTCGAATGAATCAAAAGTTGATCTTTAAAGGTCATTTGAAAAATTTGGCCTATGTTCAAAGACATGACCTGACCAGAAATTGTCATGATGCATAGCAGGATATTAGATCCGTATCGTGGAACTTTACAAACACTTCAGATGATTTCATAACTTAAGCATGTCTATCAAAAATAATTATTACATGGCTCATATGTAAGCTGGGTGTGTGATCATGCTTACGAGTATGTTGAACGCAACCGATAATGTTCTGTTGGCCACAATTTCTATATTTAATTTATCCTCCCGGATTACATATTTTTATTCATGACACATTGACGATGTCGAGAAAAAAAAACGCTTGAGATACATTAAGTATGAGGAAGGGTCAGGGGTGCTAGATTCCTTCCGTCCTCGCTATCCTCAGGAAAAAACAATCCGCATCGCCCCTAGTCTTCATGCTTCCCTCTCTGGACTGGAGGTCACCCCACCAGCCAGCCTGTAGTTGATGTCGGATCCATTCCAGGACACATAATCCTCTTCGGGTGACCGTTTGGGAGACGGCTGGACTGTCCTGACAGGGCAATCGTCCCACGGGAACAGTATCGCCTCCGCAGATCACTGTCGCTGGCTCGCACAACCCAATTATTTACTACACCAGAGCATAGTTATGTGATATGTCACAGTTCAATTTTTTCCCATTGACTTGAGCGATCTCAAAATTGACCCGGCGTTTCTGTCAACAATGTCAAACTTGCAAAGTAAACGTTTCAAATGCATATAGTGTTGCCCATTGAAATCGCTGAAAGTTCTAAAGCGATCGGTTAGTCGGTGTATTTAGATATGATGAGCACAGGCACTTTCCTTGAGGTAAGGTCACTTGACGTGACATGGTGTTATGACCTTGAATTGAAAGACTTGGGCGGGGAAAATGGGTCATTTGAAATCTTAAAATGCTAGATTTTAACAATAATTGCAAACATTATCCCGGCCAAATAGCGAGTGAGAAGGGAGCGATCCCCCAACCCCATGTTTAACTCCTATAATTGAGCTAGCTGCTAGAGCCTCGCGGAAAAAACGAGCGTTTGCTTCGTTACGTGACGCAGTGATTACCCGATTTACCCGATTTACCCGAAGTGTATACCCGATTTTAAAATATCAGTGACCTCTTAGGGCAGGTCAAGGGTCCCAAGGCATTCGACCGGTTTTTGGTAAATAACTTCGCAAAAATGGTCGCATTATCGTCATTTCGATACAATCGTGTTTTCTGTTTTCAGACGCGTCGATTTATACGCTTTTTTGTTTAGGTGAAGCAATTTAGGATGTTTACCTGAGGTCAATGTCATGACTCATGTTAGGGCAACACAGGTCACGAAGCTGTTGAAAGGAGGACATGTTGCATAACATTTGATTCGGCAAGTCTTGCAAAGTCCATTGATGGCTGTCCCGACTGGCTAGCTCATTTTGATCGGGAGTTATTGACGAAGCACTCCTATCACCCTAGTCCTAGTGACGTCATAAATGACGTCACGCAAGGTGAACAATGCAAAAGTGAAGCATTAGACCTTGCCAAGAATGTATGAAGTCACGATTTGAAGTGCTTGAGGCATAATTTTAGATCATTTCCGACGCCATATTAACAGTTTCCATATTTCCCCATTGTGCTTCTATGACACTAAGTGCATTGCGGATTTGCATCATTTTATAACCGACAACCGTGCAGAGATTTACTTAAGACGCCATGGTTAAGTGACCTGACCTGAAAACGTGGTTGATGTCAAATGATCCGGCTTGAATTAAATGCAAGGCGTATGAAATGTCAGCCTTCTATCATCAGTGTGCTTTGAGCTACCGCAAAAAATACATGGTGGCGGCATTCACCCCTTCTTCTCGGCAGGCGAGGGTTAAACC